ACATCCAGCCCTTGGCGCTTACATAACCTTATGCAGTTGCAAGCGCCGTAAAAACCTTACTAAAACAAAAATACTAAACTCGGATGTCCCGCCTCTTGATTTTGAATAACATAACAGTGTTGATAGGGATGTTAAATCTATACCATTTCACAATTGTTCTACTTTTTATGATTGTATGCAAGTCTGTAGGTTCTGCCTTTCTTGCTCGCTTGCCTCGATACATCGACGAGGTCTCCTCATCTTTTTAGTTGCTGTCTACATCTTCTGCTCGGTCTGTTTCTTTTGTTCTAGTTTACGTTTTACGACACTTGCACCACAAAAAGGTCAAATAACTGCAGAAGATTAGAGGTGTTACAAGAGAGTAAGAAACACGAAAAGAAGGAGTAGAGATCAAGGCGATAGATGTTTGATATGGAAGAAGGAATAAACCACACTAGAGCACTCCACCCGCTCTTTCAAAATCAAAACCCACATGAGGTCTATTTCTGGACAGGGGCATATAGAGTCGAATCTGCTCTAACGGCCACCTGTCAGAAACAATTATGCTTCCCGGGAAGCTGAGAATGTTTCAGAGTGTTTTATGGTCTGCTGGGGTAATAATATAGTGTAAAGCGCATAGAGCCTGCTGATGTGCGGGGATATGCGCTATACAAATGCTATCTATTATGATTACCTGTACAAACAACTATTTCCGACTTCCCCCTTGCGTTTTTTTTATAAATATTAAAATTACACTATTTATGACACCCACCAGTCTAGGAGAACTACTTTTCTCCTCAACAACGGATGGCCGTCTTTGACAATGTCAACTATATATAATTTGTGTGAACAAATCTTGTGTATGAAGTTAGCTTAATAAAATGAAACTTCATGGTGGTTCGACAGAGCTCTTATTACCGACAAATCGAGAACAAAATACACAACCAAAGATCCTATACTACAAGATAGTCCACCCCGCTCTTTGAGAAACCAAGAAGAGCGTCCTCAAAATCGCCAGTGGTGCCACCTGAAAATTTGCGTGGACTCGGTGAATATTAAGTGACTAAGGAATAAGATCTGTAGGAAAAGACATCTCATGGTAACATTGTTACTGCACGCTCATTACTGTTTCATGCAACACAAATTTATATAATATTTGAATTTTATTTTGAACTTGGAATGAATGAAGAAACACGTGAAGCAGTTATAGGCCTTACAGAATTTCATATAACAAAGAACAAGAAGTTTTGTGTGTTTTAGGATATGATATCTTAAAGTGTTTTTGGAACAACGCCAACGTCGAGGACTATAGTAAAAATAATAATAGATAGCATTTTTGTAGTGCAAATCCCCGCTCAACAGCAAGCTATGTGCGCTTCACTATCTGTACTATTACCCCGGCAGACCTGAGAGTATTCTGAAACAACCTCAACTCCCTGGGAAGCACACAGAGCAAGTGGCCATTTATAGGCGCTAAAACACTAACATACTGACAAGTGCTTTCGATGTCTATGGCCGGGTATCCATTTCCACCTGGTTGAAGGGAAGAAAAGTGGTGTAAAGTGCCTTTCCCAAGGACACAACGTCGGACCCGTGGCTCGAACACCCGAACCCGCGACCTCATGATTACGAGTCTGGTAGTCTAACCACTAGGCCACCGACGCCACCACAAGCATTAGAGGATAAACTATACTTTAACATGGTTAATTACTAGTTAGATCCCAATTAACGACGTCACTGCCCATTGCTTTTTCATGATATCATCGTAAGAGTCAAGAGAGAGAGAGAGAGAGAGAGAGAGAGAGAGAGAGAGAGAGAGAGATCAGTGTGACTGAGGACTTGAGTGTGAATTGATTCTATTCAACGGTTGTTGATCAGAAAGATTCCAGACTTTGCACCTGTCAGGCATATAAATCTAGGTCTAGTCTACTCTAAACTAAGATCCATTAAAGTGTCTGCAGTCATATACAATACACACAACGTTACTGAGACTACTCAGTACTGAGGCAAGGGGTCTAGATGCCAGCTAGATTGTGTGTGTGTTTATACACGTAGAGAGAGAGAGAGAGAGAGAGAGAGAGAGAGAGAGAGAGAGAA